GGGGTCTTCGGGGGTCTTCAGGAGGAAGGCCAGTAGTCTTCCTCGTCACCTTTTCCCCAATTTTGAAATCGCCAGCCCCTAAAGCCAGACTCCTCTGACTAAATCTTTCCTTGACCACCTTATCTCGAGTGTGATGTCCGTTACCTTCTGTTGCCAGGGCCTGGGCCTAATCCTCTGAGTCATACAATGCACATTATCTTCTGTCACCATGGTTCCACATCTTCTGTCCTTGGGGCTTTTATGTTTATGCAAGTTTCTTTCTTCGTTATCTACAGCTCAGAAACTCCTTAGCTTAAACAGACAACTCTTAGGCCTGCTACATCCATCTTACTAGTTATGTACCAAATTTCTTAACATTTCATTTATCACAACTATTATTAGAAAGTATGCTTTTGGGTGGATGTTTCATTGCTACTAAATTGTCACAAAGTCAACAGTGCATTCACGCAGCCAGCTTCTTGTCTCACTTCACACAGACTCTCAAAATCACTCTTAAAACATTTGCCAGAAAAAAGATTCCCACTAACAACAAACAGACTTTGTTATCTGGCTTTAATCATACTGAATACGCATATTAAAAGTGCTTGTCCAGCATTGCTGTGTTAAGCATGATATTTAACAGCAGTTTCAGGACACTTAAAAATACTCCCAATGCTATGGTACTTCGAAGCATGCTACTGAATATTCTTCCCCCTTCATCTCAACTACTGTAAGAAATTGCACATCTGGTTAACTGAGAATACAATAGTCTTGTATTTGGACAGAAAGCATCTTGCAACAACAGTCATTTGCAATTAATCACACTTTAAATCAGGCTTCCCAGATGAGAACTGGTTTCCTCAAAACTGCTTTGTACTAAAGCTACTTTATCAAAGGTGTTCAAAGATTCAGACCCAGAAGTGTATAATTTCAGTTCAGCCTGCATCATGCTGTAGGAGTCACAGACTAGGTGCAGGAATGTCTATACAGAGTACTTATGTTCTTGTTCACAAAATCAGCATGCAGAAGACAACTTAGGCAGCACTGGGTGAGATCACTTTGCAGTGGTTTGGGTTATTTGATCCATATAGGACCTAATGTTTTATGCCTGACAATTATTAATCCAACTCACACATGTGTGAATAAGTATGTATGTGCAGTTCCATAGGGTTTCATCCCACCACCAGCCCATTTCTGCATTTATGATGTACAGATCTGCCTAGGCAGGCTGCCTTTTGTGCTGAATTTGGATTCTGTAGTTTCCTTGTTCTCCCAACACCAGCCTGAACTGAGATCATGTCTGAGAACTAGCAGATACAGGCTCAGGAAAATGATACTGCAAAGCAGAAAAAGCACAGAGTTACTCCTGGAAGTCCAAAAGTCTCCTCTTCACTGGCTTGCTAATTCAAGATCTTATTAAATATTGCTGCTTGGAGACCACCCAGGGACAGCAAAGACTCAAAGACTCTTTGACTTAAAAGTGCTGGTGCTTGACCCAATTCTTAAAAAAAGAAGATAGGACATCAATTGAGTTCCTAACCTTACATTTCAGCTCACTAGCAACAGGATACTTGTGGCTCTCAGAAAATTTTGGCTCTATAAAATGTAGTAATCCGCTTTTCAGCTGAGTAACTGCTACTTCTGACAGCCCTGTTGGTAAGGTTAACTAGGCCCCTCCTGTGTGCAGTTTTCACGATAGCAAAGGGATCCTTATGTGCTGAAGGGCCATGTCCTCATCAGCAGCAAGGCAGCAGTTTCCTTCTCTCCAGATAGCTTGGGTTTTCTTGAGACACTCCCCAGTAGTTCTTTCAGCTGTTGCAAACTTGTCACCTTTTTAAGGTGTGGGAATCAACCACAGCTCGGGCTGATTGGGTGATACCTAACCTACTTCTGTTTAAGTGATGAAGAGTACACCCCACCACAATCCCTACTCAGAATGCAATTTAGGTCTTTAAGAATGTATTTTTAATTTTTTTGCTGGTTTATTCAGTAGGAATCAGCGATGTACTTCCTTTAACCACCCTTAAGAACAATTCACCAACATCTGAAAAGCCTGTCCCTCATATTTTTACGAATAAAATGTTATGCATGTCTCCCAGTATAGAAATTACTATGAAGGCTACTCAGTGCTCCTTGATAATGTGATTTTGAAAAATTGCTATCTGCTTGCAGGTTTTTCTGTAAGGGTACTATTTTGGAAAAATCTAATAGCTATTCAGAGCTGATAGCACAGCTTTTTTGCTGCATGAAAAGAGGGCTGTCAGAAACTTGATTGTAGCTGAATGATTTTCAGACTTGTTTTCTGCCAGCTCCGAAATGTTATCCATTTTAAATCATAGTGGCTTGCCCCTCTGCTATCTGAGAACAGCCAGGCTAATACTGCTTCAAAGACCTCAGCCTCTACAGTAATGTACCTGAAATACTAAGACTCTGATCCTTTGGCTAATGAGAAATTGTGAATCTATGTTTAATTCTCTTAAGCCTGGAGAGAGAGAGAGAGAGATACCTATATATGTGTGTGTGTATATGTATATATATAGTTCAATATTCATTGTTTTAATTTTTCTTTCATGCATTACTAAAGACAAAATTGAATTGCTGCTTACATACAACTCCTGAAACCAGTTTCTGAATACTTAACAGAAAGAGACTGTATTTCATAGAATCATAGAATGGTTTGTGTTGAAAGGGATCTTAAAGATCATCCAGTTCCAGCCCCCCTGCCATGGGCAGGGACACCTTCCACTAGATCAGGTTGCTCAAAGCCCCCTCCAACCTGGCCTTGAACACTTTCAAGGAGGGGGCATTCACTTCTCTGGACAACCTGTTTTGCCACCCTCACAGTGAGAAATCTCTTCTTTACATCTTATCTAAATTGACTATCTTTCAGTTTAAAGCCATTTCCCCTCATCCTATGCCTACACTCCCTGATAAACAGTCCCTCCCCATCTTCCCTGTAGGCCCCCCTCTCAATACTGGAAGGCCGCTATAAGGTCTCCCCGCAGCCTCCTCTTCTCCAGGCTGAACAACCCCAACTCTCTCAGCTTGTCCTCATAGGGAAGGTGCTCCAGTCCCCTGACCATCTTCATGGCCTCCTCTGGACCTGCTTGAGCAGGTCCATGTCCTTCTTATGTTGGGGGTCCCAGAGCGAGACACAGCACTGCAGGTGAGGCCTCATGAGAGCAGAGTAGAGGGGCAGAATCATCTTCCTCGACCTGCTGGACATGTTTTACTTGGTACAGCCAAGGATGCAATTGGCTTTCTGTGCTGTGAGTGCACAGTGCTGACTCATATTCAGCTTTTCATCCACCAATATCCCCAAGTTGTTCTTCACAGGGCTGCTCTCAATGCATTTATTACCCAGCCTGTATTTGTGCTTGGGATTGCCCTGACCCATGTGCAGGACCTTGCACTTGGCCTTGTTGAACTTCATGAGGTTTGCACAGGCCCACCTCTCAAGCCTGTCCAGGTCCCTCTGGATGCCATCCCTTCCCTACAGTGTGTTGACCACACCACTCAGCTTGGTGTCATTGGCAAACTTATTGAGGGTGCACTCGATTCCACTGTCCCTGTTGCTGACAAAGATGTTAAATATATTTCCTCTACCAATGTATTCGTTGCTTGCTTGCTTGGCCACATCTACATGGGATATAATCAAATGTTCCAGATCACAGGTGCTTTGATGTGATGCCTATATTTACAGTAATAGAAAAGAATGCTGCTCTCCAAGATGTACAGCATAGATCACCCTTAGCTTTAGAACATACATATGGTCCTTCTTCTGGCTGCTGACCCGTAAGTTCCTCCTAACAGCTGTGACTTTGGGCATTCCAGATATAACCCTGTTTCTCCTGCATATACAAGGTGGCTTTGTTAATGTACAGAGAATGTTTGGATTGCCAGAGGCCCTTCTTAAATACTTCAACCTCCATGGACAGGATGTTAGTCAATACAGTAACTTAGAATAAAGCTGTGACTCATTCTTGCTTCTCTGGCAAATGCAAATACTTTGCTTCCCCTGTGTCCTTTAATTTGGAACAGGACAGTACCACAGATGGGCCAACGCATATTGTCTACTGATCTTATTTTTGATGCAAGTTATTTTGGGATTGTTATAGTAAGAAGGTTTTATTTATTTATTTATACAAGAGAAGAAATGGAGTATCTCAAAGGGCACCAGGAAACTAGTCCTTGGCCTTGAAATCACAGATGATTAATCATTCAGACATACTTCAGAGAGTTGTCTGTCCTGGCTTACTGTAACCTACATGTTCAGCAATACACTTGTAAACCTTGGAGAGCACTGTAGGCACTAGCAATTCTCAAGTAGGCTTGGCCAAGCTAAGCATAAAAAGCCATGTCTTGGTGCAGTTCACTTATGAAAGTACACAATTGCCCAAGACAGCTATTTCAGAGCATGCCCTTGTCTCCAGGTTGTGTCACAGAACGTTCTATCTCTAATCAGAATTAAGTCAAACAACTAAACAAGCTTCCAAAGCACCACATCCTTCCCTGCAGAAAACCATAGAAACAAATCCCCTCTAGGTATCAGTTCCCTGTGAGATGACATGTTGCCTGGATGGACTTCCTAAAAAGCCTTCTGCCAGCCTGGGGGCAGAGGCCCTGCTTTGCACTAGCCGCAGGCTTGGAGAGCAGGCAGGGGAGCTGCAGTGCAATACCGCTGAGGCCAGTGTGCCGCGCGGGGCTGACCGGGAGTTAACTGCAAGGCCAAGGCCGCGGCAGGCAAAGCCGGCGCCGCTTCAGGAGCTGCCCAGAGCAGCGTTCCTTGTCCCTCAACTGTCCCCTGGAGACACAGCGCGGACACGCCAGGCTCCCGCCGCTCCGGCTCCGCTTCCGACCCGGCCCCGCCCCCTCACGGCCGCGGCCCCGCACGTGCCCTTCCCAGCATGCAGCGCGGGGCGCCCGAACGGCCGCGTTGTACGTCCGGGGGGAGGGGCGGGGCACAGGCAT